GGTAAGTACTTTATTTCATGTTTTCATGTTATTCTTTATTTATTTATTATTTTATAAAAGTAACTAAACTGTAAAAATAGGGATCTCTTTAGGTTCGGTAAAATAAATAATAATATAATAAAAATGTTTCACGAAGCATGCATGCAAGCAGCTCATGGGTAATGTAACTTGAGCTCCACATTCCTCAAGTGATTTACAACTTATAATGGCATGAATAGTAGTTAGACAGGGTTCAAAGGGCAATAAAACAATAAAAGTTAATTATTATTAGATGCATACTGTTATGATTTTAAAGCTACTTAGGATAAACGAAAGAAAACAAAGGTAATTTAGATGTATTTAGATTTTTTTCTCGGTGGTTACGAGGTCGGTCAAACTGACTGACCCCCATATAGTTAGGGTAGAGAAAATAACAGATAAACTATAAAGTTTTAGTGAAAACAAACATTTGAAATATATTTAAGAGGTTTTAGAGAATACACAAATCAAATCTGAGGTTTTAAAATGAAAAAAATATTTTTAATCTTAACATAAAAATCATTTTGCACACAGACTGTTCAAAACAAATACTCGATATATTGATGGACAAATCTTTTGTAAAAACACTTCATTAGAAAAACTGATTTTTTTTGTCTAGAAAACTATATACAAGTAAAAATGGTCCCGTGGTTGGTCTCTGGGACTGACCCCTTATCGAGAGAGTTAACAGACTGAATCCAACGAAGGTTTCAACTTATGGCATGTAATGCATAATGGCTTCTTAATAATAGCCTAATAAAAACTTTTATGTGCCCAGTGGCTCAGCTGCAAGTCTAAAGGCACATAATGCTAAAAAACAGGTTTTGGTACACATGATTGGCACAACACAGATAACCCTTTGTATAGCTTTGCACTTAACAACAAACAAACACTTTTATATATAATTTTAGGTTTGTTGTTAAGAAGAATTTCTTAGAGGCAGTAGATAAAATATAAACTTATCTTATTGAAGGTCTAAATCATAACACCTGTAGAGTGAATACTAGATTGTGTGATTTTTTTTTTAGTTATATAAAATGATATACTGGTGAAGGTTTTTAGTGCATGATGTTTTGTATTGAAAAATGCCTTTATGAAGGTTTTAATTTATTGTACATGGGACAGGTTGACAATCTAATGATTAAATCTATTATCTTAATGAAGATGCACCTTCAACTTTCTTTGGTAAAAGTTTTAATGAGTGTATTTTACAGATGGTAAATCACACATTATAATAACAATTTGTATATGCTATTACAGTACCATGTTGCTGCAGATGTTAATCACATCATCATGTTTAACACATGGTTACAACTTGGTTCACAATAAATTCCTGATTGTTTGTCAGAACAGTACCACCAGTAATAGATTTGTGGTATTCTCAGATGAAAGTGTAACCAACAAGTGCTATGACAAACACTAAAGGCATGGCAGAAGAATTATCAGTTGCTACACAAGTGTTGGAGACATGCTAATTGTGAATCTGAGTCAATCATTGCTATTCAATAACAGTTCAAAACTGATTTTTTTATTTATTTGTACATTGTCATGAACTGCTTTAATGATATTAAAAGATAGATTTTTTAATTGCTCCATTTTTTTACTGTCAATTTTTTTATTCCTGTATAATGTTAACTCTTTCACAACAGGCTCGGTATACAATACACAAGTTCGTATACACATTTGCACATGCTAAGTATTTATACTCTAAGTTTTGATGCAGTACGTGTATCTTCACAAAATTTGGTAGACTTTTAGTAAACATTACAAGTTTTTTGAATGAACTATTTTTGCTAAGCATTTGTTTGTGAACATATTGAGACTGTTTCATTACTAGTCCGAGTG